TGTGGCAATGTTTCCAGGTTCGTCTTGTGGGTGCGCAAGAACAGACGCCACATGCACTTCAGTCGGTCGAACGCCCTCTCCACACACCCCCGCGCCACCTTCTGCTGGTTGTCGAAGCGCTCCTTGTCAGGACCTTGGTCTATTCCTCCATACGGCTGCACGATCCATGGACAGGCAACAGGATAACCGTTGTCGCCCAGCAGGTATCCTCGCGTGACGACACCGTGCGGCAAATTCTCTGGAGCTGCGTCGAAGAGCTCGCCAGTCTGCGCGCGCCTCCAGAGCTGGGAATTGTGCAGGACGCGGACGTCGTGCACACTCCCCGGGTATCCGACGTGGACGTCTAGGATTCGGAGATCCAAATCCACGACGACCTGCGCCTGCACGGAGAACTTGTGGTTGCGGTCATAGTAGTTGGCAGAAGGTGCGTCGGCGGGCTTGTCGATGTAGATGTGTGTGCAGTCGATGGCGCCGAAGCAGTTCGAAAATCCCTTGTCACGGAAAGCGCGGAGAATCTGCGCACGTCTGCGGCCCACTGGCCACTTGATGGCGTCGGGGTACGCCCGCAGCAGCGCCGAAGTGACGTCGCGGACGGCCTGCAGTCCAGTGGCCCTGCCGATGCCGAGAGCTGAAGTGCCACTCTCGTACGTCTCCCCGGACGCCCACCTGTACAACGCGAAAGCGATAACCTGCTCCGCTGGCAATGGCGTCCTGTAGTGCATGACCTTCTTCTCCACGAACGCGGCGAGAGCGGCTACGATCTGCTTGAACATGGCCATCGACATGCGCAACTTTTGGCGGTAGTACTCGTCCGTGGCGTCATCGCTTTGCCGGAGGTCCTCCCATGTTCCGCCAGTACGTCGTTTGATCCACCATCGCGGGGTCTGCCGGGGGTAAACGCCAGACGACAACGCGACACACAACTGGACCACTGCCTCACACGTCGCCACGCAATCCGCCGCTTCGGCAACGCTCTGCAACAGTGCTTGTCGTTTACGGAGCTGCTTCGCCACGTCTCGTGACGACGACGACATCTCGTTCATCGTCTTCAGGACGACGGTAGACACTGCCATCGCTACCACCTCCATCTCTTCCGCCCGCAGACCGTGGCCGCAGCCTCCGCCATCCATCTCCGCAAATCGCTTACCTGCCACACCTTCGCTCCTGCCGCAACCGCCCAAGACATGCCCGCTGCTCAGCATTGCCACTGGACACCACGCACACTGTGTGACCCGTAGACGTCCCGCAGTTGTGCACTACCTCAGGAGATGGAACAAGCGCGATGCCGAAGACACGCCCGCTGCTCTACGCTTCCACAGCGAAGGCGACGGCATGTCCGTACGTGAAGATGCGTCGCGCGCCTCACAATTCCCGCGTACAGCAAAGCTGGTTACCCACGGCGAAGCAGCCGCCACCGCCATGTCTTGTATGTCACACGCGTCACCTTGCCGTCCTCCAGCCCGCCAGCCTGCGTCCGCCAAAATTCGAATTTCAAATTTTGAAGGTCTCGGCAACCGTGCACTTCACCAACCCGTCGGCAGCTGCCCAAGCCCCACCGCTATGTGGACCACGGACACCAGCCAGGACTGGACGGACATCCGTGACGCGGCTGCGTATACGTGTATGAAAACGGGCCGCGGGAAACCTTTTAGGACGATTCCTAAAATACGATTTTTAGGATTGCATGTAACGACGCCGCGCGAAATCCTAAAAAACTTTTAGGACTCGTCCTAAATCTTTTAGGATTCTTTTAGGAGTGTCTAACGAGACCCTTATGCGTGTCATCCTTGCGCAGGGGCCATCCTAATCTTCTTTGTGTGGTTCCAATTTTAACGGATGTCCCGAAGGGCGTTGATACTTTCTCGCACACGGGCCGGTCAGTTCAGGGGCCTCGCCCCACATGCCATCGCGGGAAAGGAACCCTTCTGCGGTCGCGGTTGCCGCCTGAATAAACCACCAATACCTACCGGTTGTTAAGGCCCGTGGCTCAAGCAACCGGTAGCCTTTTTTTTTTTCTTTTTTTTTTTCCCCCAAAACGGGCCCAGTGCCCAAGGCTTATATTTCCAATAAGAGTATCGAGGCCGGGGTCCTCACAGTCTACCCGGAATGTCTGGGAGCATTACCCAGTTTCGCTTACAGGGTGGGACCACACCCTGCGAGGCATGCTTGCCTCAGGACTTCGACCAATACTTTAAACTTGGGTCCAGAACGCTTAGACCTACACGGTTGTCTAAGCCCTGTTACTGGCCGCCCCTAAAACGGGGCAGCGGAGCAAAGCTCCAAAGAAAAATATTGACGCTCCTACCTACCCCACTTTCCCACGGAGTACTGCCCTCCTACTGCGGAGCTTAACCGAGCGCCCAGGTATGTCATTCATCACTGAACAGCCACTCATCCAGAGAAAGTTTGCCCTCCTGGCACTTCGCCAGTTGCCCTCCCAGAGACCAAGTTCCTGTGAACCATAATAAGCCTGCCTCCTTTAGCCTTGGAGAGGAGACCTTCCTTCTCCAGTCACACTTGATACTTCGACAGATCTGCAGCTTAAACCACCAGTACTTGGGCGATGCCTTAGCGTTAACGCTACGCGATTTCCGGGGCCGGCGGGCCGTCGATAAATCGAATCGACAGCCCGCGCTGCTTCGAGATTTGGGCGGCCGGCACGGCGCGCAGTGCCCAAGTACTGGTGGTTTAACCATGGCCTTGATTGATTTGTCAGACAAATAGCGACCCTCAAATACAGTCTTATTCCTGACCTCCCAAACCACCAGAAACAAGCATGCCCTGAGGGTCTGGGCTACATAGCCCCATCCTTTGTCCAAGGCTAAGTCATCTGGGATGCCACCGAATAGAATCCAGTGGTCATCCCAGGGGAAAACTGGACCGCTAATGCGGTCCCAGTGGGGTTTCCACTACTCCCAATTTTTTCGAGACAGTGGGCAAGACAGCCACAGATGCATTGTGGACTCAAATGGCCAGCGACACCTTACACACTGAATTTCAATCTCCATTCCCCTCCCGACCAGCCAAACTGCCGAGGGGGTCGATAACAGCGACAGTAACCAAAGTAGGGTCGTGGCTCTGATCAGGGGCATCTTCTTCAAATGTGTCCAGCACCTTGTAATTGCTCTGCTGATTGATGTTTCCTCCGAAGAATCAACTTGTGCCCCCCTGCTTATGGCCACCGAAAGTGGAGTTCTTGCTGGAAGTTGGAGATCATATCCTCCTGCCGTCGTGAAGTCTGTAAGCCATGCTTCCTTGGGAAACCTCCAGGAGCCTTGCCAGGACCACATCTTGGGGTCCAGCCGCAACTCGCGGATTGGTGTCCCATTTGCCCAGAGCTTACATGTCCATTCTCCCTCATCATTGCATGTTTCCCGAATCCTTACCTGTATTAGATTGCCTAATGGCCTGGATGCAGTGGAGGGGGAGCTCTCGTCTGCACATATTAAACTTTCCGAGTCTGGCAATCTACTCCATCGTTCAAGTTACCTTCCGAGTTTGTGGAGAGTAATTTCCATAGCGCTTCCGCTTGATCCTCCTGTGCCAGTGAGGACTGTGTGGTAAACCATGTCCCATGCATTCAGGACATCCTGCCAGAAAGGTGAAGAGGTTTTCCTGCGCAGGTAAGATTCTATCATGCAGCATGTCCACACATCTCTAACACGAGGTAAGTTTCAGTCGTGCGCCAGGATCTGTTCAGCCAAGAGAATCCAATGATCTTCCAATTGAGAGGACACAACCTTAATTATCCATTTGACCAATAATGCGGCGTTCTGCCTACCTGGATCTAACAGTCCCAAACCACCTTCCTCCCTGGAACAACAAATCAGTTCCCATGCTACTTTTGATATGAATCCTGCGTCCGTTTCTGCAAACGGTTTCCACAGGAATCTAGCAGTTGCGTATCTCACCGTCTTTACCAGTTTCTTCCCCAAGGCTCTGACTGTGCCTACAAACCACAGCAAGGCAAAAAGCACCACATTGGTAACTACTAGGGCTTGGCCAAACAGTGAAAGGTGTTTGACCGGACCCCAGATAGCAAGCCTTTGGATTACTTTCTGTTGTAACAGACTGTTTTGAGCATCTGCGCACCGTCTCAGCGTGACCTGTACTCCCAGATACCTTTCTGAATCCCCACTGACAACCCGCTTCATTCCCCATTCTACCACAAGATTGTACCCTTCCGGTAACAGGTATATGGACTTAGTCCAATTTACTGCAGCTTCCGATAGACTTGCGTACTCCGTCAGGCATGATTTCAGTGAAGTAAGTGAGTCATGTGTATTTTCTGAAACTGCCATCAGATCATCTGCAAGAGCTTTCACTCGACAGTCCGGGTGTTGCACCGGGAACCCTTTGATCCCCGGGTGGGATCTGATATTTGAGACTAGTACTTCCAACTGTGTGACAAACAGCAGGGGGGCCAACGGGCACCCCTGTCTCAAAGACCTGGTCAAGGCGAATGACGTCGAAATATGTTCATTAACTGATACAGATGCAGTGGAGTATGCATACAGAACCATTACCCACCTGCAGAAATTTGGACCAAATTGAAGTACCTTCAGTGTTGTCAAAACATAAACCCAATTAGCCCTGTCATATGCTTTTTCTAAGTCTAATAGTAACACGGCCACATCTAAATTCCTGTTCTGCACCTATTCCAATGTTTCAATGGTTGTAACTATGTTGTCGAATATTGACCGACCCTTTACGAAGGCGGCCTGGTCTCTACCTACTAAATCGGGTAGGTACCTACCTAATCTGTTCCTTAACAATTTTGCTAGCAGCTTATATGATACATTGAGCAAGGAGATAGGTCTCCAGTTTCGGTTTTCGCCTTATCTCCCTTTTTGTACATAATGGAGATGATGTCGTGTGTCATACCTTTTGACAGCTGCCCACCAGAAAGTACTTCATTGTAAATTCTTACCAGATGAGGGAACAACGTTTTACCATGTAGTAAATAAAACTCCACAGGTAATCCATCTCTGCCAGGGGACTTTCCTTTGGCCATACTCTTAGCTGTTGCTTCCAACTCTTCGATCGTCACTGGTCGGTCTAGGTCCAGCCTGCCGGTCGGGCCTAGTCTGACTGTGAGGTTGTTCCAGTGGTCGGAGTTTTCAGCGAGAATGGTCTCAGGGGATTCTCCAATCCTGCGGGATGTGAGGATATCCTTAAAGTATAACACTGCATACGCACACATGGCATCCGATGTTGAGGTTGTCTTTGCTTCTGGGATGAAAGGATGGTTCAGAGTCTTCATCGAATGTGCTGCCCTTTTGGGAAGTAGCTTTTGGAATGAGTCTTTGGTCATCCGATCGTAGACTGAGATACCTTTAACTGTCAGCCTTTCGGCCCACTCCTCAAATTTAGCTTGCTGAATATCATCCCATTTGGATAACAACCTCATCCTTTCTGCGGCCCACACCGAGGCTGAGACCGGGTGAGCTTGCATCCTCTCTTCTACCCACTGCAGGTCTTTTAGGATGTCTGCCTCTTCTTTATTACGGTTTGCTGCCATGATGCGTGAAAAGTCATTCAGGTGGTTCGAGGCTATTGCTGTCCCTGCATCCCACCATTCACCTGCTGTCCGAAAGTGATGCTGGGCTCTTGGCCAAGCTTCAAAAAATTTCTCTACCCAGGCCGACAGGCCTGGGTCACTGAGATTCTGTACATTCAGCCGAAAAAAACCACTACCTTTGTCCGTCTGATCCAAAAGTTGAAACGTCATCTTAACGGGGTAGTGGTCTGACATTGGATGGCGTATGACTTCGACATTGGTAATTGCATCCCACTAGGCCGGGCTCAGAAGCCCGTAATCTAGTCTCCTTAGACAGCCTACAAAATTTCCCTTTGAGGCTAAAGAGCCCCAAGTGTGTCCCGGATCTAACTGGTGCATGATTCTGAAAGCATCGCACAACTTCAATTCCATCATGTATTTGGTGAGTGCATGCAAGTCCGGTGACCCTGCAACGACATTTTGAATGTCATCCAGGGAAGTGTTCCAATCACCCGCTACCAGCAAATTATCTACATCGGGGGTAACAAAAACCAAGTCCTGAAAAAACTTAGTACGGTCCGCTCTGTCAACCGGGGCGTAAACTGTCAATACTGCCCACTCGGTACCAAAGGATGAGAACTTAATCTAGGCCCATCTTCCCCATAAGTCCGTTGCGTGATCGAAGATTTTGATAGGAAGATCCCTGTGAAGTAGGATGCCAACCCCCCCCCTGGTCCCTAATGCAGGAGACCAAAGTTGGGGCCCATCCCACCAGGTGCCCAACTCTTTGATCTTCTTTTCATCAAGTTTTGTTTCTTGAATGCAAATTATGTGGATTTTCTTTTCGTGGAGCCAAGATTTCAGTCTAGCTCTCTTTCCTTTCTTGGAAGTATCTCCCAACCCTCTGAGATTCCAGGACACAACCCTCAGTTTATCCATTTATGTTTGCGTTGTGGGCCCTGGATTGGATGGGGATGGCTCCCGTAATTGTGCGCAGGTCATTCCCCCAACTGCTGTCTGGAGGAAGAGCGAGAGGTTGAGCCTATGGTTGGGCCCCATTTCTCCGCCAGGATGTTCTTCAAATAGATGGACTGCAGCATTTTGTTCTTTGACAGTTTTTCGTTTAGTTTGCTCAGGATACTCGCATCCGCCACATGCTGTATACACAACTGTTGGAGGGAATTTGTATCCTCATAGACGAACGGGGTGAGAGGGATCAGTCTAAGACCCTCCGTGAGGAGGGCTTCCAGCTTCTCCTGTGGAATCAGAGCGTCGAGCACTGGGACTAGAATTTTGCAGGTTCTATCCTCTAGTTCCTGGTAAAGCCTTGGTAGTGCCATGTCTGGCACCAGCCTTACTAGGAAGCGCTCTCTGAATATGGATTTCACTGCAGAGAGGATAGTCTGCGGGGTGACTGGTTCCTCTGTTTGCTGGGTTAAGAACGTAACTTTCGACTCCATGGGCTGCCACACAATTACGTGGACGGTTCCATTCACCATGGTGCAGATGAGCGACATTAGCCACTTCTCGAGGATGCGCTGGCCTTTGGACACCGTAATAATCCTCCTGCTACGGGAAGTCTTAACCCCCGTTTGTGGTACCCCGATTCTCGAGCCTGAATCGGCAGAAGAGGAGGACTCAGTTCTACTGTGGAACGAGGCTTTTGATTCCTCTCCCGTTGGCCTTCCCTCCTTCGGAGGGGCTTCCAGCAGGAGGGGGCATGCCGATGAGATACTGGTTCCTACAACTCTAGCTCCCTTGAGAGGGGATTGTCCTCTCGTACTTCTCCCATGCACTTGTACCGCTGAGAAAGTCACTTCCTCACCGGACTCCTGCCTGATGTTCAGGCTTCTGCCTACCCCTGCACAAGTGGCTGGCCTAATTGGCACCGGGCGGAGCACTCCACCAGGCGGTATCTCGGTTCCTGGAGGTGGGGGTTCTTCCCCACCTGCCCCTGTTGTTCTTCCTGGATAGAGTGCTACTAACCCCAACGCTTGGCTGTTGCGCATTGTGGAGCCTTGCCTTCCCTGCAATCCAAGGTGGCCGTCCTCGTCTACCCGGAGGTAGGACCTGTGCAGTTCAGGGCCCGGGGCATCTCCCCTCCATTCCTAACAGGGCCGAAGCAGCGATGTGGGGATATAACTGGGGATGGACTCCTGGTACGCCTACCATTGCCTCTGGGTTTGTGGTTCGATAGTGCACCCTGATATTTGGGAGAGCTTCTGTATCTTGTTGCCCGTGACTCTGCTCTCGACTATGAACTGGAGGCGGACGATGATGAGTCATCATCTTCGTCCATCATTTGGGATGCTCGATCCCGCCGGAAATTACTGCGCCGACCATTTCGGTTATTCTTCCTCCTTGTACATTGGTCCTCGGTGTGAAAGTACCACCGGCAGCATGTACAGTATGGTGTGGAAGATGAGGCTAACCTTACTTCCACCATATCCCCCTGTTCCGTGCGTACCCAAACCCGGTCTACAAATTTCGATCGACAATCCGGATCCAAAGTGCATTTTATATTGAGCAGTCTCGGGTTCGAGGTGAATCTGTCCAGGGGATCCATACTCAACACCGGGCCAATGACCCGTACTAGTGAGGATTTGAGGTAGAAGTACGCATCGAGCGGTACTTGGATGACCAACACCCAGAATGTGTTTTCCATCTCAGTTTTCCATAGTTCTTTCCACTCGGCTCTCGGTACCCAAGGTTTCATCTCGAACACGTACCGCTTCCCTTTCAGCTGGACTTCCCCTGATCCCTCATTAACCATCCATTCCGCCACCACACTGTCTCTTGCAACATAGGAGATTACATTGGCCCCCTCGAATTTCACCCTCCTTTTTCCCACCGGAGGATCGAAAACTCCATCCTTTTTCCATCCATTCTCATAGGACCTAACGATGTCCTCCTTTATCTTCCGAGGAAGATTCCTCGCTTCGTCTCTGAAAATAATGACCACCGTGCGTTCTTTAAGCCATTGAATTTTGATCCCATCGTAACGGGCGTCGACCGTAACCACTGCTTCGTTCCCTTCTACGGACACATCTTCGAACGGAATGTCATCCGGGCAAAGGCCCTCGTCATAGCACATGGTGAGCAGCAACCTGACTCGTTCATCAAACCCATCTTCCTGCCTCTCCTGGCTTCCATCCTCACCATCCATGACTATGTCTAATTCTAGTTGTTACTGCCCTTCCATATTCAATCTCCCTCTTCTGAGGGTTGCGTAATTGTCTATCCACTCCTCCTCTCGGGGTTCTTTTGCACAATCTGTGAATTCTTCTACTGCGAGAGTTACCGAGCCCCTGCTTCTTCGATTATCTCTTAAAGTACCTCATTCGGTGGCAATCCTTTGCTTTTCCTGGAATTCTACCTCGTGGCCACGAGATGCGCCTGCATTGAGGTTTCCTGATCCCATATCCCACCCTGCGTCGATATTGGCCACTCCCGTCTATGAGAGACTCACCCTTAGTGTATCGAGCTGCTCGGCAACCGTATCCACCTCTTTCCCTAACGATTGAAGGGGAGGACTGGTCAAGCATCGCTTCTGCCACCGTGGTTAGTTCGAGGGGAGCGCCTACAGAAATTGCTCGCTTTGAGATTGAAGGTCATTACTCCTGCCTGGTCACAAGGGTGCAGTGCCCTGTTTTTCCATTCATATATGAGTACACTCCTACCGTGGGTAAAACTCTGATCTATTCCATCCATACAGCACAACCACCAAATAATTTCATTAACGCATTGATATTTGGCCTATGTATCCCTAGCATTCCGGTACCGTCTATGCGTAACCTCAAGCAGTTTGTGTCTAGAGCTAATCACCCATCGCAGCACTTACCTGCACCTTCTCCCAATGCCTAAGAGGGCGAATTGATCAAGCGATTTCCGCCAACCCATGGTGAGGTAGCGTGGGATCAGAGGGAGTGAAAAATTACCGGAACTCTTATGTCCATTCCTCCAAATGTCTGGTGATGTCGGCACTCCTCGTTCTTCGGGGGGAACATGTCGCGGTTAATATGTCACGGTGGTGTTTACTCCTCCGCCATCGATCCAGGGGTGAAAGACCTTCGTCCCAGTGAAGAGGACAAGCGTGAAACTTTCACGCCGCCATGGTCGTGACCATGGTTGTCGGCTTCACCGCGGTAACTCGCGTTGCGATAGCGCGAGGACCGCTGAACGAGTCGGCGGCCTCTGTGTGAGCAGGACCCGGCCGACGGCGCAAGGCCACGAGCGCACTACCGGCGTCGTTGGCAGCGCTACCCCCGATCCGAAAACCGAAATCCCTGTCGCATCTCCGAGATCCTACCGGTAGCCTCGGACAACTGGCAGGACAACGGAAAAAAAAAAAAAAAAAAAAAAAAAAAAAAAAAAAAAAAAAAAAACGAAATCAGACCTTTCCAACGAGAATGAATCTTCCTCCATAAAGAGGAAGATTCATTCTCGTGAGAGAGAGAGAGAGAGAGAGAGAGAGAGGGCGTCAGCCAGTGTCTGACGCCGAGCACCAAGCTCGGTGTCAGGCACTGGCTGACGCCCTCTCTCTCTCTCTCTCTCTCTCTCTCTCTCTCTCTCTCTCTCGCGGAGCAGGAGGTGGCGCCGAACTCGGAGCAGCAGGTGGGGGAATGGACGACTGAGGCCTCGTCATGGTAGGAGTCGTGATCCCCGCCTCTGCGCGGCTACTGCGTGCATGAGATCCCCCCACTCTCTCATTGCGCACATCATCTATGGAAGCCACCTCCCCGAAAGGACCCCAACGATCCTCGTCTCCCCCCATCATCTCCATCTCAGCAAAGTCCGCCCTCCGTCGTGCGGTATATGTCCTCGTCTCCTCGTCCTCGACATCCTCGTGGGTCTCGTCGATCTCACGAGGAATGGGGAGCGTCGGGTCATATGCTGCCTTGGGTGTCTGCTTATCACCAGAATCATTGTCCCTGGGGTACGGACGGAAAATGCAAGCACATCGCTCAAAAACAGCAGTGGCAGGGGGCGGTGCAGAAGCAATGATGGGATCACACGTAATAAGCGCAACCTGCTGGGCAATCTCCTCCTGCGTCATCCCCTTGTGCGTGCCCGTGTGCACCGGCTCCAGCTCAATGCCTGCCTCATAATCGAGCATGCCCGTGTCTCGCTGCCATGGCAACACATAACCGCATCCCGCCCGCCGATACTCTGTCAACCGCACATTTGCGGTGATCTCAACGAACTGCACGGCCTTCTCAAAGGCCAACTGGTTGAGCTTCTTCGTGTGGATGCCCTTGTAGACCGCCCAGTTCCTCTCCGCTGGAGAGGCGCAGGACCACATGTGCATCACACGAAGAGCGCACCGCTGCAACTCAGGCACGCCATCCCCGTACTGGGACCACCAAGACGCGTACTCGATCGTTTCGGAGTCACCGTTACACGCGCGACCACGCCCGCCCCAATCACCGAACCTGCCCTGCTGTATGTGGAAGTCCTTGAGTTGCCGACAAGCAACGATGTAATCCGCACCGTCCAACTCGAAACCCGTCTGCGTCAAAATGTACCTTTTGGCTTGCCTCACAAGCCAAGCATGGTAAGCCTCCACCTCGCCAAAAAAGTAACGAACATGTCGCGTGTGCGGGTTCAGTAAAAACCCAGCGCAGTGAGCCAGCTCAAGCATGTGATATGCGCGGGCCTGCACACGCCTGATGATCCGGTCCGTGAAGGGCTGGCCCAAAGAAGCGCATGTGTCCTTCACACGGTGGACAAGATCCTGTGCCCACTCGACCATGAGCAACATGAATTGCCCTCCACGATCCATCCGCCTAAGCAACTGCATGACGGGCTTCATAATATGGACAAAGCGCCATCTGGCACACTCGGCAGACCACGGGATGGAAGTAAATGCCCGCGAGTCATCCCCTCGCATCATGCCCTACAAAGTGTCCTGCAGAGCCAACAGCCTCTCCACCATGGAGTAAACAGACGCGAACTGCGTCTCGCAGGAAAGAATAAGCCCTTTGACGGGGCTGCGCCTCCTAAAAAAAGAAAGGGCGGTCTGGTGGGTTTTGAAAAACACCACCAGCACACGAGTGTGTGTGATTGCGTCCACAAACTCGTCGCAACTCGTCCCCATGTCTGACAGCAATTTGTTGCAGACATGGACGGAGCACGGGAGCCATGTAATCTTCCTCAATGCAAGAGGCATGGTCGACGAGGCCAACGCCCTTGCAGCCCCCACGTATGCTGAAACGGAGTCAGTGCAAATCGCATTGACCCGCTGCGGCCCACCGAACCTGAACTCGTGGAAGATGGTGACCCATCTCCGAAGGACGTGCACTACATCGTCCGACTCCCCCTTTCGATTGATCGTCATGTGCATGACAACCCCTCGTGAGCCTGCAGTAAGGAAATTCACGATCGGTCTCTTGTCTCGTGATTTCCTCCCGTCAGAGAGGATGGTGGCACCAGTCACCCAAAATGGTTGCCTCACCTCCTCCAACTCCTCCGCCAACTACGCACGGTGGGTCTCCACCGCCTGCATGCTGGCAATCTCCCTGTGGCTAGGGAGCATAGCGCGTGGCGAACTGCCAGACTGCTCAAGGAGCACCTGTTGATATACATTCCATGCCTCATTGCGGAAGGCATTGAAGGTCACCCCGCTGGAATAAAGCCAGCGGAGGAAGGTCTTCTTGTGGCGAGCAACCCACTCACCACCGTAGACCTCAGTCACCTTCTGCTGTCGGAGCCTCTTTCCAGCGTGGGTAACAGCCAGATCAGCTCCTCCTTCCTTCCTCTTCGAAGGACCGTCCTCCCTCACACCAGTTGGTGCAGGCACCGCCCCCTTGGCTGCTCGCCGCAGCCACTCCACCATCCTCTCCCCAGTGCCTGGATGGAACTCCGCTGCGTCCTCGTGTTCCAAGAGTCCCTCCTCGCCCGGGCCACATACCTCGTCATCGATGTGGATCACGCCCTCGTCCATGTCCCCTCCTCCACCCCCCGATGGGCGGTCGGACGCACCCTGGCCACCATCTCCCACGCCCCCTCCCTCCACCGGACGCGGCCCCACCTCTCCTCCCCTTGTATCACCGGCCTGGGGCGCATCGAGTCCACGCTCCGCAGCATACCTGGCAACCCTCTCCATCTGTTCAGACTCGAATTTCTGTTGAGTCCGTCGTGCGATCTCGTACAGTACCTCGTCGCTGACGTCCTTCCGGTAGTCCGTCTGGCTGAAATGTCTCGTGGCCTGGTACTTAGTACCCTGTAACACTTTGTTGCAGAATGTGCAACGCAGTATCATGACCCCCTTGTTGTCGACCTTCTGGACAACAACAAGGTACTGATACACAGGGGAGCAACCCATGAATGTCTCCTGCACATGTTCTGGAGCAGCATTATGTTGTCGTCGTTGCGCCCTCCCCATGACAACTGTCCCTTGTCACGCTCTGAAGCATCGACCTGAAGTCGTACGACGCCTTAATGACCCGCACGAATAGCCACGCGTTCACCCACCGACGTCGGCCCTCCCGACACAGGCCCTCCTCACGTCGTACTGGCCCCAATGGCACCCTCCCCAACCACAAAGCCACGCACACACCCACCGATGACGGCCCGCCCCGCACGGGCCCTCCTCAATGCATTTGCCCCCCGCCACACACCGTCAAACGACCCCTAATTCCACAGCGTTAAATCGCGTTTAACGCCATTGAACCGCATTAAAACACGTTAAATCCCGTTCAACGCCATCGAATTAAAAATTTAACGGCGATGTTCGCGACCGATGTCCGCGAAGCCCGCCGTTCGCTGCCCACCAAGCTGTCGCCGGCCCGCGACTCTCTGTCGTCGTCGTCTCTCTCTCTCTCTCTCTCTCTCTCTCTCTCTCTCTCTCTCTCTCTCTCTCTCTCTCTCTCTCTC